TTCTGGTCTGAACCTGCACGCAATAGAGATGACTTCTTACAGGCGTATTAAGGCATCTTGTCCAGCTTTCTGATTTTTGAGACAACAGGGGTAGAGGGCCTTTGGCCATGAGACTTGAGTGGTTAGGGCTGTAACTGGGGATGGGAGATCATGTGCAGCACTGGTGGAAGTGGGCTCCCGATATCTAAGAAGTGATGTGGTTCTCAATAGTTGAGGTTAAAGGAAAACACAGTCAGGGAGTGAGGCCTTTATAGCAGGGCTCAAGGCTGTCTCAATGAGTGTGGACTCTCAAAGTTGGTGTAGAACTTATTCCCCTTTGAATTTGCCAAGCAGTCACTACACCACACCTGCTGAGTAATGAGTAGGAAGTCAAGGAGATGACTGTGGGGGCTGTGGGTGTGGGAGTGTTGGAGAGGGGTGAATTCATGGCCACAGGACACTGGATGTTGCAATAAGGGTGAATAAGGAGTGAGTCCATTTTTGGTGATTACTGGCTGCTGAGATATATGATATGATCTGAGGAATTTTACTGTAATTGTTTGAAAATAGGTGTGTTGTGGTGAGACTGGCCAGGTTCAGAGCTGAGATGTCACAGAGTTGCACACCTTCCTATGGTTGTCCAGGGCTGACACATTGATCAATGGGAAGGAGATAGCATATATTGGTGTCACCTGGGCTTGCATGTTTGCAGTGGAATGGGAAGGGAGATAGAAAGAGAGAGAAGCACATTACAGAGGCTGTGAATTAGACATTGGGAGGAGAAGATGAGTAGTGTTCACACCACGACAAATTTGTGTTGCCTTTGAAGATGTGCCCCTGGAAATGCAGCTGTGTGAGAGAAGTGTGGTTCAAAGAATTATGTTGAGCAGGTAGTGCAAAGTGATGGCCTCAACACCATGGTATCAGAGTCAGAAGGGTAAAGCATGAGGCAATGCTTTTTCATGTCTCTGACGGAGATTACGGGCGATAACAAGAGTATTGCCTGACAAAATAAGTGATAAATCATTCACATTTTCTTAATGGCCAACATCTCTCTCTTCCCTATGTGGGTGACACCCTCTGTATAAACAAGAGGCAGTGTGGCTTACACGTGAGGCCCAGAGCTCAGGTACCTTATCTCTGCTCAACTGCCTTTATTGTTGTGGTAGGAACAGTATTTGTAGGAATATAAGGAGAGAGTGATTTTGATGGGCCCAAGGCCTGGTGTCTTGTCTGATGAAGGGTAGATTGAGCAAATGGATGTGTAGGGTGGGAAGTATGAAGAACTTTAAATCCTAAGAGAGAAGCTAATCATGGTTTGAACTGTCTCCCTTAGGACAGAATATGAACTTTGAGGACGTGGCCATTGTCTTCTCTGAGGAGGAGTGGGGGCTCCTTGATGAGGCTCAGAAACTTCTGTACTTCAATGTGATGCTGGAAGTGTTTGCACTTGTCTCATCTGCAGGTAAGACCTTCACGTTTCTCCCAACGTCCTGAGGTGATGTCTACTCTTCCTTTATTCTCCAAACGTAGCTCTCACAGCCAGACCATGGGCTCTACTAATATCCCCCACTGTCGTTTCAAATGGGCTGTGGCTGCCAGGGGTGCACTGTGTGGCGAGTCCTGAGCTCTGGACTCCCCAAGCATCCCTTACACCCACTGCCTTAGAAAATGGAAGAAGTGTCTAGGAGTCAGGAGTCTTGCAATGAGCTTAATGGGACCCACTTTGAACTTTCTCTTCCTGGGAAGGTGGCTATGTCCTCATGGCTTCCACTTCTGCACCATTCATCCAGGTAAGGCTCTGTTACTGCCTCTGCCAGGGTTTCGTCTTTACTTATATGAACCGTATCTGTACTTGTAACATCCTACCTCAATTGTTGTTTGTAATATTTCCTTCCCTGAATACTATTGCATTGCGAATTGCTCTGGGTTCCTGCTGGCTGCTCACCTCCCTTGTATTTCATTAATTCTCTGAGTATTTAGTTTGTATGTACTTATAGAGTAGAAGGTGCATGGAGAAGCCTGTGTTCTATCTCAGGGTGAACTGGGAAGATGGTCTCTGATGAGGCCTGATCCTTCTGAGTGGAAACTGGGGGAAGGTGTCACATGAGGGCTTTTCAGATCACACCAGGAACCCGCTTGTGTCCAACCATATTTAGGTGCAGATGCGTTTGTCCACACCTTATTTCTACATTTTCTTTACCATTACTGACATTTTGATGACTGATCATTTCATTTATGATTTCCTGGGTTTGGCTACCTTCACGTTTGTCATCTTTTTGCATCAAATCTCTCTCGGCACTGGTCCCTCTTCAGTATTCTCCTACATGGACCACCACATGTGTTATGAGGTGCACATACGTGCTTAAGTTGTCCTAGAACCCCTGCTACTGAATTTTACTTGGAATAAGACATAAGCAACCTTCTGCACAGCTTGACCATGTCTCCAGCAGACAAGCCCTGTTGAGCACTGTTAGAAGAAGGAGCTGATGATCCTGCTTCGATTCCATGTGGTGCTTGCCATCTTTGTGTCATATTTCTGGTGAGGCTTTCCTTGTTTTGTAATATTCAGAGTTCCAGTACTTCACAGGTGTCTTTTCCAAAGCTGTCCAGCACATCTGCTATTTTCAGACAATTGCATGGATTGCATGTATGATGTGCAACATATTTTTGTAATGAAACTTCCCTCATCACCGCAGTCAACATCCAGTTCCTCCTCATTTCTCTGTTTTCAGGTTGTTGGCATAACACAGATGATGAGGAGACCTGTTCTGAGCAGAGCGTATCTGTACAAGGAGAGTCACAGGTCAGG